CACATTGTACTGAAGTGGGTCTTGTTCCTGAATTAAGATTAAGACAGCACTATATACAGTATATGGCAAAGAGCAAGGAACAACCTGCATGATTTTAGCAAATGCAAAAAGATGACTTGGAATCTCTTCATTCATACGTCTTTCCAATACAGTGCTGTATCATTTAACCTGACAAGAAAGCAGCAAGGAAAATTAAGCTTGCCAAAGCCACCCGGCGAGCTCGATCCGCTCCAACCGGGGTCTTGATCCTAGTGCCGCTACAGCATGCTAAGGAACTGGTGATTAAATAGGCTAAGGAGCCCGTCCTAGGAGCCGAAGGGAAGCAGCAGAGCAAAACAAACGTGAAGGGAGGCTGCCTGGGAGGACTTGCTGGCCTGGCAGGAAAGAGAGGCAGGAAGGGAAGCTTCCAAGATTGCCGATAGGCAAGGAGAGCGCGCTTACGTGAAGGTCTGAAGCTTCGCCCGCGGGACACAGGCGAGGCAAGCGGTCTGCGGTGAGATCTGAGGTGAGCCGAAAGGCTGGCTACACTCCGCCTGCCTCCCCCCCACCCCCAGGGACGGGGCTGCCCAAAGAGAGCCTGACACCGCGCACCTTCTCTTTCCTTGGCGCGGAGACGGCTCCCTACTCCAGTTACTTTTCAACCTAACCACCGCCGTCGCCACCACCACCGCCGCCACCGCCGCCGCTCCTCCTGCTCTTGCCTCCCCGCCGCCGCCGCCGCCGCCACCTCTACTACCCCGCGCTTCATGGAGCCATGGGCCAGGGCGGGCGAGAGCTGGAGAAGTGGACCCAGCGGGGCAGTGGAGGGGAGGGGAGGACAAGATAGGCTGTGGGAAGGAACCGCACAGCGGAATCGGGCAAAGAATCGCGGAGTCGCCGCCGGCTAAACACAGAGCTGAAGCAAGACAGTAGAGCCCAGGTCCTCCACCTTCCCGGCGGCCCCTTCTTTGAGTGTGAGGTAATGGGAGAGGAATGTGCACACCGACCTCCCATCGGCCCCATGAAAATCATAGACAGAGTGAGGACAGTTTCTCCAAAAGAACCATAGATTAGAGGAACTTCCGCCAACCACAGCGTGAACCGTTAAAAAAAAAGGTCACGTGAGAGCCTTGGCGACTATAGAGAACGAAGGGAAATGGAGATAGTCGTCTCTTTAACGGATAGTGATTCCGTATGTTAGGATTTCCTTTGAAATTTCCTCAAAAGGCAACATTGTCGGTCCGCCGGTAAGAACTGACAGCCTCAGAACAGTTAGGATAGGGTTGCTACGTCTTTAACAGCATGTAGGCGAAGGAAGTTGGTTGTGTAAACTACTTCAGCACAACGGTTCAATATTTAGAAGCCCCGGCCTCTTTTGTACTCGTATAGCTAATGGGATGTTTTTTATTCTGGACTGAAACTCAAAAGCGTCCAATTCCATCAATCAGGTTTTTTTTTAATTACTTCTGATCACATAAACTAGGAATGCATTACTTTTCAGCACAAAGTCCCACCAGTTCAAGTGAAGGAAACCAAACTGCCGGTTTAGAAGCTCCGCTAGGCTATGCCTTTTCTTGCATAAGGCCAGTTTGCCACGGGACAAAGATTGACTGCGGTTAATAGTATTAAGCACATCTCAAAGTGGGAATTTTTTTTTATCGTGCAAAGCAATCTTTTAGAATGCATCAAAACTTTACAACATAGACATCATGCAATGTATAGCTACAGTTTACCAGATTGTTTGTAGAAAGTAAGGTGAACCGAATGGAAAAGAATTTTCTTGTAGCTTTGAAATACCTCACTTTTCACAAAGCTGCTATTGACTACTCATCTCAGCTCCTTATTTGCAACATTTCAAAACAGAGCTCAGCCAATAAACTGTATATAGACTTAAGGTTTACATAATGCTGCGTCTAAGTACATAGAGTATTATATCATGCATCTCTGTACGTGATACTCTCCCATTGAAGATTGTTGTCATTCAATTGCTTCTGACTTTTTGTGACCAGATAGATATCATTTTTCCAGGTTTGTTTGTCAGTTACTGTTTCTTTGAGTACTTATAAGCTCATGCTTGGGTCATTGGTGAAAGTATGTAACTGTTTTCTGTCAACTTCTTTTTCTTTTTTCTTTTTATACGAACTTTATTAAGTTATAAAAAGCATAAAGATAAAAGCAAACAAGAACTAATAATCAAAGAGAAAAGTAGAGAACATTAGAAATAAAGAATGCAAAAGTGATGGAAAGTAAAGAAAAGGGGGAAAGGAAAAATTACAAAAAGAATGACTTCTGGCTTCTTATACAGCAAATATAGATAAATCATATAATGACCTCTTACTCTAAAACTACATCTTTACATACATATTTTGTATAGCATATTAATTTAATTTAACTAATCCTCAATGTCAACTTCTTTTTCAGTTGTCTTCAATTTTTCTGAACATCAGGGTCTTTTCCAGTGACTCTTGTTTGTGCATTATGTGTCTAAAATAGTTAATCTTTAGCTACATTATTCTTCCAGTGAGCAGTGAGTATTAAATTATTTGTTCTTTCTGTGATCTCAACAATTTTCTCTAAGGTTACAGTTCAAAGACATCAATTTTTCTTTGTTCAGCTTTTCAAATGGTCCAGCTTTCACAGATGTATGCTACAGTTGGAAAAACCACTTCCTTGAGAGAACATACCTTTGTTGTCAGTATAATGTCTCTGCACTTTAGTTTTTTAAATGTAGGAAAATAAAGATTCAAGATAAATTTGATTAAAGATAAGGACTAAGTAAGGTGTTTTTTGTTTTTTGTTTGCAGATAATTAAACTGACTATTTTCATGAAGATGCTGAGCAATTCTACACATTTTTACTCAGGTGTACGTTCAGCTGAACTCATGGAAACTTTCTCCTTAGTAAGTACGCTTAAGGCTGCAGATTTAAATGACAAATGTAAATGTAATTGTACTGGCAGACTGAACTGTAGAGCTGGCAAAATCTACTGCAAGTGTTTGTGATACAACACTTTGCATTGTTTGTGATACAACACTTTGCACATTTTAAGGAGGGATTCTCAGATTTTGCAGTGCTATGATCACCTTAAATGATAAATGGCAAAGCTTGATTGCTGTAGATAAGAACTCAACAAGGACCACAATTCCCATGTTCAGTGCTCCTGTTTGAGAAAATGACGCTGTACAAAGCTGAAGGTTTTGGGTGAAACCACAGCATGCCAGAACACAAGATAAAATCTAGATTAGACATCCTGATTCAAGAGGCAATTTGTGGAAAGGGAGAAAAGCAGCCATAGGCTGCAAAAAGCCGCCCTATATTGTTTTCCATGCATTTTATACATCCTATCTAGTATAAAAGTGCATTTTGCTTCTGTACAAGACAGCTTGCCATTCTTGCAACTCTGCTCCTAGGATTGTGGATCTTGGGACAAGCTGAGGTTTCTGGGGACATTCCACAGATCAACCAGTCATCTTTTCCCTTCTTCCTCCTCCTCCTTCTTCTCTATGTAACTTGCTCCTTCCCTAGGAACTGCTTTCTGGCTCAGAGGCATTTCATCCTCCTTTGCAGCCTGCCTGCTTGACTAAACTTAGGCACTGGGAGGGAAACAAGTGTGCTTCCTTTGAGTATGTGCAGAGTCAAGTAGGCTTCCCTCCAGTGACCCGATACAGATAAGCCACTGTATCCTTAGTTATCTTGGCCCCTAAATTCAAGGCAGGACTATGGCTCAGCCTCCAACTTAGCCTACAGGATCAACACCTGTAGGGGACCTAGGAAGAAAAGTTGGGGAATACTGACCAGAAGAGGAAGACCTGGGTACCTACCTTCAGGCTAGATTGGGAAATGGTCCAGCAGGCTCATCTACTGGCCCGACTGGTAGCTGGTGGTGCAGGACCTGTGGTCCCAATGGGATTCTTTTACTTTCAAAGCTCCACTCTCATTTTTGAAAGGGGCATGTACTATCTGCCATCCTTCTGCAGGCTGGGATAGCTTGGTCAGAAGTTGTCTTCTTTCATGGATGGCAGAGAAATCCTTCCTCTCCCCCCAGCCTGACTGGCAAGAGTGGTGCAATTTTGCAAGGAGGGGGTGTGTCTGTATGCATTAGGCTTGTGCACACAAAACCTCTGCAAGAAGTTGATTCTGCTCTGGGACAAAGTTCTCAACATTCTGTTGACAAGCCTTCCCAAATTTGTGACTTCCCCTCAGATTTGCTAATGGCACCCCAGGGGATCATGAGAACCACCGTGCTAGAAAATCAGGGCAAAGAATTCTCAGGTTGAGTTTGATTGCCGGTGACTACATGGTTCTGTCCTTTTTGTTTTCTTGCAACAATATGGATGTGATTTGTGATTGCCTTCTTCCAATATGTTTTTTCAAGTTCCGTGGTCCTGGGATTTCCTAGTGGCCTCCAGGAAACAGATTTGATCGTGTTTAATAATGTAATCCTTATTGTTATTATTTATTAGATTTATAAGGCTACCCAAATTGGAAAGATTGTAAGAGACTAACAATGTAATCCTTTACATGATTTTTTAGAAATAAACCCACTGAGTTCATTGAGTAACTTGTGAGCAAGTATATAATTATACATCAAGCCTAAAAAGTCTACTCACTTTATGTACAAAATTCTACTGATCTCATAGAATGTTGCTTCTAAGTACATGGAGTTGCCCTGTCACTTGGAAGAAAGTATTTTGAACCCAGTGGCACTTGCTTGTAGACCAGAATCTCAGTACTTTTGCAGAATTACTTGAAATTAATTCATTTTTGATACAATACATTTAGTTGCTTATCAGAAATCAGGGAGATATGGGAAGCAGAAAACTCGTAGCAAGTTTTTCATTTTCTTTTACATAAAAATTTATCAAATCAAATGTATTTTGGATTTCATATAAATGAATGTCAAGAAACCCTTGATACTGGCCTAGAACATAAGTATTCCTGAGAAGTAGGTGTGTTGGCTGGTGTCGGTCTTCCGGGCTGTGTGGCCGTGTTCTGGAAGTTTTGTTTCCTAACGTTTCGCC